TGTCTTTGAAAACAACAGGATGCTGGATATTCTCTCTGGTGGGTATTCATTCTCCCCTCTGTTCTGTGACCCGGGAGGGTGGCCTTTATAGACTGCATTAGTTGGCTTCCCTGCTCTCTCACTGGGCTTGACTAGTGAGAGTCCAGTGGGTGACATCTCCAGAAGACTGGTGAAATGGAGGTAAAAGCGGCTGGGGATTCGAATCCCCTGTCCACCTCCCTGATGGGCTGCGGTTGAGCAGTTGCTGTGTTCCTCCACTCAAAACCACTGTGGTGTGGTCTTCTCCTGCAGCCTCAGATCTTGCCAGAGTCTTGTAACAGCCCCTTCAGATTTCAGAAAGGTGGTAGCTGCCCCCTGCTGCTACCCCTGCCTGGTACTTCATTATGCCTTGACCTTGCCCTCGTCTTTGTAAGTAGTCCCTTATGAAACCTCTTTTCCTATTGGGACCCCAACTGATACAGGCAATAATACAAGTTAAGAACTCACATATATGAAATTTTATAGGATGTAAGCAACAGAAGATATTAGTAAGACGTGCATATGAAATATTTTGAAGAAATATTTTAAAGCTTCACAATGTTAGTCGATGTCGAAGTTTGCAGACTTGCATTTTTAAAAACCATACCTGTACATCAATCTTCCCCTTTCTCTTGCATTCATTCTTCCCCATTCACCGTTTTCAAAGGCATCTTTCGCTGCTGCTACTGCTTTATCAACATCCACCAAAGACGCATAGGATACTTTGCATATTGCCTATTTCAAGGTGAGTAAAAATAGGTTATAGGTTATTTATATAGAGAGATACATAAATGTGCTTCTTAGAATTAATATTATAAAATCCAGAGAATTTTATGAGGGAAAACCAATACATCCAATAATATAGTAAAGAAAAAGAAACAATTTTAACTGAAATTTGGTACTTCTCATGTCACACTACACTATGGAAAGAAACATTTAGGAAAACTATAACTACTTCTTCTGGTGGCTTAAGGGAGCTGCGTTTCTTGCCATGAGCTTGCAAAGGCTGAAATTTTTTCCTACACATAGCTTTTTGTGGAGGTGCGCCTCTGATGTGTATATGCATAGCTATCTGTCTAAAGTCATCATAAATATTCACTCTATAAAATAGGTTACTATAGTTAACAGCGAACAGTACCAGAAGTGAATAGTTGAAAGAAATGCATGACGTACATTTATATTAAGTGTTCAGAGGTGGAGTGATATGATAAAGTACTTCTTAAGACTGTTTTACAACTGTGAGCTATAAACTGAAAGTCCGTGACCAATGGTCACGTCACTATGCACACCACATAATTACTCACAGAACCATCTGTTGGGTTGATGGTGTCATAAGTCTTCCCATCGTCAGCATCCGTGAACTGTCCATTTATGAAACACTGATATGGCATTTTCACTGTCATTTCATTGACTTCCTTTGAAACCTAAGAAAGAACATTGTATTAATAGATTCAGTGGATGCCTGTGCTTATGCACTGGATACTGAATAGCCATAAAGAAACTTATTCCCTAATGCTGATGGAGAAGTCGAGTCAATGAGATTCTAGTTCCTACTGTCCAGAAGAGACAAGGATATGTAAGATTTGGGCTTTGCGATGCTCAGATTGTCCACTGAGACAAGATGTTAGATAGCATTTATGATGACCAAAGTGTTCTAGGTTGGGCTTTACGAAGAGCTGATTTCCTTCCTTACACAAATGAAGGATAACTCAAAAGACCTCCATAGTGGAGATACTACCATCTAGTGGCAACACCTAGGGAGTGCAGCCATTGCTTTCATTTAAAGTCTCAAAATAGCCTTTGGCAATAGGTTTCTTTTTACACTAGTGCCATTTTACGTTTTCTTTTCTTATGCTCCTCCCCATTTTCACCGTCTCTCTCTTACATATGTGTTTCCTAAATTGTACTCTCTACCATTAGCTAGCAAGTAAATTTAGGTTAGTCCATTAACCTCTATGAACCTCCGTTTTTTTCAACAATAAAATGGGAAAATAACACCTACTTTATACAATTATTATGAGGAATAATTGAGATAATATATGTGAAAGAGCATTATTAGCATACAATGCCATATCAATGCAAGGTATCAAAAAGGAATTTAATGATTTAAAAAATATTTCATATAGAGAAATCGATGATGTTTAAAAAGAAATAAAAAATAGCAAGAGAGTGTCTTGCCTTATCCTATACCAAATACTCATGTTCCATAAAATATTTCCATGTGTTTATGTAAGATATAATGAAGGAAACTTCATCGAAATTGATGTGTTCAGTCACTGCATATAGTCTAATTTTCTAAACTCATCATTCTGGGAATATACTAAGTGTCTTACATGTATTACCTAATTTGATTCTTTCAACAATCCTATGAAGTGGATGTTTTTACTGTCTCATTTAACATATGATGACACCGAGGTTTATAGAAGTTAAGTAACTCGCCAAAAGTCACACAGCTAGCAAGCAATGTTACTTGGATTTAAACCAAGATTCGTCTGACTCCAAAATTCATGTTCTTAACCAGATAATGCTAAACTGCTTTCTAAATTTACCTAACTCTTATTATATACAAATAGATAAGAAGCACTTCTGCAGTAGTAGATTAAAACTCTCTGAAAATTTGCTTCTTCATAAAAGTAATGAGAACACTAGAAAATATTGTCAAAATAATTTTTCTCAGAACTCTAGAAATAAATCAAAGGTTTGCAAGAACCAGTTTATTCAAGAAAAACAGCTGAATCTCTGTAAGAACAGTAAACTTTGTGGTATATTAATTTGCCCTATTCCCATCTCTCTCTTGAAAACTCTGCAGTAACTTGAAAACAAATATCCTTGCAACTATAGTAGCTGTGAAAACCAACAGCCTATTAGCCACTGGCGGGGGAAAAAATAGGTCTGGAGCTCTCCAAAAGCCTCATCTCTAGAGAGTTATTACTATTAGACCTGGCAGCTCCCTGAAAAGCTCCATTCTCAGGGCTTGTCTTTATTTGACTTGACTCAGAGCTTGCTGTGCACAAACAACCCTGTCCCTAGGGAATTTATTAAAAATAATTAGTGGTAATTGTTTAACATGGCAGCTGCCCGAGCACTAATACCAATTGGGGCTAACAAATAGGTGACCAAAGAACTGAAAAGAAAACCAGGCATGAGATATTACTAGGAAGCTTTAAGAAGCTCTGGTATGTTCCTGGAAATCTAGAAGGCCAACATATGTACAGGCTTGTGCATGTGCCCAGGAGAGACCCGACAAAGCTCTAATCTCTTAACCTCTGGCTGACCTGAGGCTTTGTGCAAGCAGAAAGTGTGTGAAGACTAAGGCAGAGTTGCAAATTGCTTGGTGGAGCTTTCAAGGTGTACTCCAACATGCACAGAGTCCCTCAGTAAAGGCTGGGAGACATTGGTTCAAGGATATTTCAGAAAATCTATGTTCCATCATTAGCTGAACACAAAGATAACTGAGGAGAGACTTCGGTGGTGGCCAACAACAGAGAATACAGGCTTTACAGAATTAGTCCAAGAAAATCACTAAATCAGGAAAAAGCAACAATAACAACCGGCAATGACAACAATGGTCCCTGTGAAGGCAGGGGAAGGGGATCTGATTTCCAGAGTTGCCATATTCTATTACTAAAAATGTCTGGTTTTCAACAGAAGATTATAAGATGTACGAAGAAACAGGAAAGAGAGGCCCATATGTGGCAGTGGGGTAGGAATTGGGGAGAGTGGTGGGAACAGAAACCATTCCTGGAGAAGACAAGACATTAAATTTAGTAGACAAAAATTTTAAACTTTTATAAATGTGTTAAGAGTACCAAAGGAAACTGTTTAAAAAATTAGAGGAAAGTAAGAAAACAATGTCTCACCAAATGGAGACTATCAATAAAGAGCTAAGATTTTTTTTTTTTTCCTCAGAACCAAATAGAAATTCCGGAGTTGAAAAGTGCAATAATCGAAATTTAAAAATTCACTAGAAGAGCTCAATAGTAGATTCAAGTAGGTGGAAGAAAAATGTAGAAAACCAGACAATAGGTCAATAGAGATAGCCAATCGGAGAAACGAGAAAGAAAAAGAATAAAGAAAAATGAACAGAGCCTTAGAGGCCTGTGGGACACCATCAAATGTACCAACACATGCATCATGGGAGTCCAGAAGGAGAGGAGAGGGAGAAAGGGACAGAAAAAATATATGAAGAATAAAAGCTTAAAATGTCCCAAATTTGATGAAAAACATTAATCTGCACATCCAAGAAGCTCAACAATCTCCAAGCAGGATAAACTCAAAGAGATCCATTCTGGATACATCATAATAAAATGGTCAAAATCTACAGACAAAGAGGGAATCTTGAAAGCAGCAAGAGAGAAGCAACATGTCACATAAAAGGGATCCTCAATAAAATTAGGAGATGATTTATCCTCAGAAACTGTGGCAGTCAGAAGGAAAAGACCGAAAGAAAAGATTGTTCACCAAAAATTCCATATATAGCAAAAATATTTTCCAAGAACAAAGGAGAAATTAAGTCATTCCCCAAAGAACAAAAACTGAGAGAATTCATTGTTAGCCTGTTGCCCTTAAAAAAATACTGAAAGGTGTCCTATAGGCTGAAATGAAAGAACACTGGACAGTAACTTAAATCTACATGAAGAAATAAAGAACACTGATGAAGGTAAATATAAAAGTCAATATAAATGTATTTTAGTTATTCATTTTTTTCTCCAATCTGATTTAAAAGACAACTGCGTAAAGCAATAATTATAAAACTATGTTAGTGAGCTTATAATGTAAAAAGATGCAATTTTTATGACAATAATGGTAGAAATGAGGGGATAGGGAACAAAGCTATATTGTAGCAAAGTTTTTCTATGCTATTGATATTAAGTTGGTATTAATCTGAACTAGAATATTTTAAGCAAAAATGTCCATTGTAATCCTCAAGGCAACCACTAAGAAAATAACCAAAAACATATGGTATAAGAAACAACAAGGGATTAAACTGGCATACTAGATAATAACCATTGAACACAAAGGAAAGCAGTAAAGGCAGAATAGAGGAGCATAAATGGCATAAGACAAGACATATAGAAGCACAAGTGGCAAAAGAACAAATAGATAAACTTGATCAAATTTTAAAACTTTTGCATGTCAAAGAATACAAAAAAAGTAAAATGAAAGCCCACAGAATGGGAGAAAATATTTACAAATCATATATCTGATTAGGGTCTAGTATCCAAAGTATACAAAGGCCCATTACAACTCAAAAATTAAAAAGACAAATATCCTAACTTAAAAATGTGCATAAGATTTGAATAGACATTTCTCTAAAGAAGATATACAAATGGCCAATAAACACATGAAAAGATGTTTGTCATTAGCCATTACAATGAAATGTAAATCAAAACCACAATGAGATATCACTTCACACTCATAAGGACAGCTAATGTAGAAGACAGACAATAACAAATGTCGGTGAGGACACGGAGAATGGAACCTTCCTATATTGCTAGCGGGATTGTAAAATGTTGTAGCCACTTTGGAAAAGAGTTTGGTAGATTCCAAAAGTTGAACACAGCGTTACCATATGACTCATCAATTCCACTCCTGAATATATACCCAAGAGAACTGAGAACATATGTCACAAAAACTTATACATGAATTTTCATAGCAGCATTATTTACAATATTGAGAAAGAAATAACCCAAATGTTCATCAACTAAGAAATGGATAAACAAGGTGGTATATCCACACAATGGAATATTATTTGGTGAGAAAAAAGAATGAAGCGAAAGTATACTCCACAACATGGATGAACCTTGAACACATTATGCTAAGTGAAAGAAGCCAGGTGCAAAAGGCTATATGTCGTATAATTCCATTTATATGAAATGTCTAGAATAGGCAAATACATAGAGACAGGAAGTAAATTAATGGTTTTCAGGAGCCAGAGGCCGGGGGAAGAGAGCAGGAAATGGCTGCCAATAGATACAGGGTTTCTTTTGGGGATGATAAAAATGTTTCATAATCAGATAGTGGTGATGGTTGCACAATTCTGTGAATACACTAAAAACCATTGAATTCTACATTTTAAAAGGATGAGTTTTATGGTATCTGAATTACATCTCAATAAAACTGTTATTTTTAAAGGTTATAAATATAAAAGTGGATGAAAGACAGAGCATTCTTTCATAGTACAAGGATCTTAAAGATTAGATTTTAAACACCATGGAAACACTTACGTAAGCTACTAGTAGCTCTGCTTCCTGGTCTTCTCCTCTCAGTTTCCTCACAATTTTCTGGATGAAGTCTTCGAATTTGGTGGCCATATAGACATCTTCATTCTGTAACTGAAGCCCACCACATTTCTGTCTGATCTCTTCAACCAGCCTTAAAGTAAGAACCAGTTCATGTTACATTTTTAAAGGGTTTGGGAGGACTGTATGATTACATTTGTCAAGTTGCTTTGAACTAAGACTTACGTCACATGCCTATTTAGATCTTATGAGATCTTCTAAGATAATCATCAGAGAAATGGAGAAGACTGGGAGAAAAAAAATTGAAAAGCTGTCTTGAAGGACAGTGACAATGTTCTGATTTGTTTTTAACTTTATACATGACTAAACACAAAAGAAATCAAGGCAAAACATTTTAATTACTTGCAATGCAAGCAAGATAATAAAGGACGGATAAAATCAGTTCCTTTCTTTTCTAACGTATTCAAGGAATAAAAAAGAAAGAAAATTTCCTAACTGTAAAGATTATGAAAGACATAAATCATATTGTAAGATTATGTATAAGTATAAAACCAACATTTGTTCGTATTACATGATTAATATAGGTACTAACTAGAACCATACATCAATATCATTTTTGAAGTCTTTTTCAATTCTTTGATTCTTCACTTTTAATTTTTTAAATCACAGCTGTTATTTGATATTTCTTGAAGAACAATGGTGTACTAGATGCAGAAGAGAAACTGTACTACAGTTGTTCAGTCATTTATTCTCTAAAAGAGATGAGGTGCCTTGCTAGTTCACAATAATAATGTCTGATTATTATGGTAAGTCAGATATTCAAACAAGAAATGGGTAATTCCTGCAGGAATGTCTTCCTAGCAAAAAAAAAAAAAAAAATTAAAGGACAGTAATGAAATCTTTAGTTGAGCAAGTTAGAAGTTTCTGGGAAGTCATGAATCATAGCTCAGAAATCTGTAGTTTGAAGAACCAAAACTTTTGACTTCTGATAATGACATTTGTTCTTGAGATGATCATTCTTGATTACTGGACTAAAAAAGCTTCATGAACAAAAGTACCTTCTCTTGTTCGTGACTGTAACCCCAGTGCAAAACACTGTTCCTGATATGCAATAAGTGTTCAATACATTTTGTGAAGTAAATGAGTGGATAAATGAATAAACAGAATTCATCAAGAATGCTTGCTTTATCAAAATGAAGCATTATGCCAAGAGGAGTAGCATTCTTCACTTTGTTTAATTAGTGAGTGTCCATAGTATGGCCCTCAAAGTAAGAACACCTCTGCAGCACCTTCCATTATTAGGATCCTGGTACGCTCTTGGTGCCACGGGTATGTGTGTGTGTGGGAGGGGAGCTTTCTAGGACTCTAGCCCTTTCAACTTGCTGTAAACTTCTGTAGAGAGATGCTTTCCATAGGGTGATGATCTCTACTCTTGCAAGTAGCCTAATAATCTTCATTCTAGATATATCTTACTGAGTAATTTGAGAGGACAGGAAAAGAAGATTTTGGTGAGAAGTGTAGCCAGTGTCAAGGTATCCTTCTGGATCAGACTATGTAGGAAATTCCTGATTAACATTCTCACCCAGAACATCCCAATTCCAATGTCATATTGGAGGAAAACCAGCTAAGAAAGACAAAATTTTAAAAGAAACTAAAAAATGGCAGGGTTTTCTAGGGAGATAGGAAATAGGAAAATGACTGCTGGTTAGTAACAAAGAGAAGGGAATAAATATATGTGTTTGACCATGGAAACAAACAAACAAACCAAAAAAAGATGAAGAAAAGAGAAAAATAGTATGTGGGTAGGATAGAGTAATAACATCCAGAACAAAGGATTTAGATTTGATTTTCAAAGTCAAAGTCGGAATCCCTAGTGGAGGGGTATGAGTCAATAGGGTGGTGGTTTTACCTGACAACATCCATTGAGCTTGCTCCAGATTTAAAGAAGTCTGTTGAGTCTTCAATAACAGGGACATTGCTTAAAATTCCAGCCCAGATGACCTACACAACAAGGGTAACTTTTGTAAGGGCTGTGCCACATAGAATTCACGGCCAGAAACTGGCTAGCTTCTTATCAAATCTATTCTCCTTCATCTTGGACATGTAGCTTGACTACATTTCTCAGCATCTCTTCAAGTTTGATGCAGCCATATGATTAACTTCTAGCCAATGAATATGAGTGGAAGTAACCTGAATTCCAAGTCTTGGCCTGTGGAAACCTCCCTCACACAAATCTTTTGTCCTACTTGGCTATCTGGAATGGAACTGACCCCCAAGGTGACCTTGAAGATAGCAGAGCCTGAGTCCCTGAATGACTCCGCGCCTAATCCTCAGGTGCCAGCTTTACCACTAATCCCTATGCCAACCTAAAACTGCTCTGGATTATTTATGTGAATGAAAAATAAGTTTACATATAAATTTAGGGGTTGGTTTCCTATTGTAGCTAATACAAAAAAAAGAGGAAATAAAATTCCATCCTCACTACTCTGAGGACCAAGGGTACCAGGTACAAAAATGCTTTGCTTTTCAAGGTTTTCCAAGGCAAGAGCCATGGGAAGGACGTCACACATTCACCTTGATGGTCTCTGCCACCTTCACCTCTTCGGCTGTAAGTTCTAACACTGATGTCTCGCCTGCTGAAAAGTACTGAGAGGCAGGAATCATTTTTCCATCTTCGAACTGCAGGTTTCTCACCATCAGCTACAAAATAGCAATGCAACAAGCAGAAAAATTGACGATTTGGACAATTCAAAAGTGAGGTTGGTGGGAGAAGGAGTCATATATATTACATGAGTATCAGGACTAGCTTATTTGGAAAATACAAAAATATGGATTAAGAGCCCTCATCATTATGTGTAAAAGGACTGAAATGGTATTTTAATAATGGCAACAGAGAGGGAAAAGTTAAGTCTAGGGATAGACACATCTCAAAATGGGTAATAAGCCCCTGAACGATTGACATCTGGATGCATATATTTGGACTAAAACCTACTATAACTACTACTATTATTCCCACCATCTGAACATTTACTCTGTAGCATGAGCGGTGCTAAGTATGTATGTACTGAAGTGTCTTATCTAATCTCATAAATCCGGATAGAGGCAGGTGCCATTATTATCCCCATTTTACTGATAAGGAAAAGGAGGCTCCATGAGGCTAACTGCCCCAAGCCGCACAGCTAGTAAGTAACAGAGCTGGGGTTACAACCCAGAACTAGCTGCACTCTGATGCCCAGAATCTTTATAACCGATCTATCCTGCAAACTACCGGAAAGTATCTGTAAGCAGCAAATTCCCTTTTGCTTTCTCTATGGGGAAGCTGCCCAAGAGGCCCTGAGGCCAGAGCCCACACTGCCAAGCGTAGGCAGTGTGGTTGGGCTAGTGTGTGGTGAGGCGAAGGCAAGGAATGTCCGGAAAGGACCATATCCAACTTATTTGATCCCCCCAGACTCTGGCAGTGGGAAGGCAGACAGATGGAATTACTTTCTCTGTTTTTTTAATGGAGAAACTGAGACTCAGAAGGGAGAAGCATTCTGCCCAAGACCAGTTAAGTGGCAGAGCAGGGATTCTCATCCTGTCTCCTGACTAAATTCCAAGCTCTTACTACCGTATCACAAAGCAGGCTGTGCAAGTCCTCGGGACCCATCGAACCTTGTTCTCATCCAGGCACACAGAGCTAGTTCATGCCCAGAGCTAAATGGGGCAGGTACTTTGAGCCTCCTGCATCCCACTGCAAGCCAGATTATCTTGTGGAAGATATTCTCTTGATAGTTCAGGTTATAGAAGGAAACCAAAATAGTTATTTTATTGGTGACCATACTGAATACTCACTGCTTTTCCATCGTTACCAAAAAGAACAAGTCCGTTTTTGGTAACAAGACCAGGCGTCTTGGCACCTTTAATTTCCAGTGGTTCTCCAGGAGGCACGGAGCTCTTCAGTAATGACGAGCCATAGAAAGTGACCATCTAATAAACAGATCAAACCCAGATTGCAAAACGAGGAATTTACACCTAGGAATAAGGGTGGATGCAAGCAGCACTCCCTGCAAAAAGGCTGGAATTATCATTTATGATACAATTGGGACACTCCAACGCGAGCGACTGTACCCAGCATCTATAGAAATGACACGAAGCAAGAGATCGTCTATGAATGTATGGTGAAAGTGTTTCAAAAACGCCTCACATCCAGATGACGTGTATCTACATTTATCATTTATTCACATTGATGGAAAGGAGAACAAGATCAAAGCTTTCACAGGCTGAAGGTAGGGGTTTTAAGGGGTGTAGAGGTGTTGGTAGGGGGTCAGTGAGGGTAGATGCAGAGAAGAAAACAGACTATTACAATGCAGTGGAATCATTGCTGGCAATTACAGGATGCTTTGTGGGTCAGTTCATGAAAACAGGACTGGATTTAGAATGTAATCCAGAGAACTCAACACTAATTGATTTATTACGATGACTATCAGCTCTCCTTTATTGAGCACTATAATCGTTAACATTTACTGAATACTTATTTTATGGCAGAGACCAAGTACTTACATGAATTAACATACATTAACTCATTTAATCTTCACAACAACCCATAACCTATAAAGGAGGTGCTATTATAGTCCCATTTTACAATAAGGAAATCAAGGCACCCAAATGGTTAAGTATCCTGCCCAAGGCTACAAAGCAAATAATGGCAAAGCCAGAATTTTAACTGAAACATTCTGGCTTCAGATCCATTAATCCCTGAACTAAACTTCCTCATTTGGTCCTTCATTGATCCTTCATATTTTTATAGGTACCTAATATGCACTAAGCACCCTG